TGGAGGGAACGGTGAAGCCGGACTACAAGAAGTGCGTGATGATCTCCACGGACGCGTCGCTCAGGGAGATGATCGCTCCAGGCTGCTTGGTGATGCTCACACCCATYATTGCGGGTTACCTGTTCGGCGTGTACACGCTAGCAGGTGTTCTTGCGGGCGCCCTGGTTTCCGGAGTGCAGATGGCCATCTCCGCCTCCAACACCGGCGGAGCGTGGGACAACGCGAAGAAGTTCATCGAGGCAGGCAACACGGAGCAGTCACGCGCGCTCGGGCCGAAGGGCTCCGCATGCCACAAGGCAGCCGTCATCGGAGACACCGTGGGCGATCCCCTCAAGGACACGTCGGGCCCATCTCTCAACATCCTCATCAAGCTCATGGCAGTCGAGTCTCTTGTCTTCGCACCATTCTTTAAGGAGCATGGCGGCATTCTTTTCGGTGGCAACAGTTAGAGCGGTGTTAATCACCCTGGAGATTTTTGCTGTTTTGGAGCGTGTCTGCTTTTAGCGATTTCGGGCTAGGGCACGGAATCGGCCAGGCAATCAAAATACTCTCTTTCCCCGACTTCCTGCCCCCTGGTTACATTGTAATCGCTGGCGACGTAACGAAGTTTGGAGGTTGTTAACGTCCTCAACGACGCTCCAATATAGTCGGTGCAGGGAAAGGAATGGCTTTTTTCTCCCCCGATTTTGAGGAGATACTAGCCGGCCCAGGTGGAAGGAAATCTGTTAGCTTATAAGTTTGTGGCATTTTTATTCGTTGACTCACTCGTGCTATTTGTAGAGTCTCTCTCTCTCGGAGTAGTACCGCCTTTGAAACGTCGTGGTCTGCGTTTATTGATTAGTTCCTTGATCGCTTGCCATAAGAACAACGGAACAGCAGCGTGCACTGCGGCACATTTTCAATGAATATGGTCTGTGTGGCCACTCGCATGCAGTTGTCTTGACTGCCACAGCCATGGTCAGTGAATCATACGCTGACATCTGACACCCTGCCTGGGGCAGACACCATCTGTGAGAAGAGCACTTTCTTTTCTTTTGAGAGAGTTTTTTCTTCATTTGTTTGGTCATGAAATGGGTTTTTGGCACTCTTTGCGTTTATTTTCCCTATTTCACACTGCCCCCCACCTGTCCCACACCCGGCACACTAATCCAAATACATGGCTAGTGGGATCTCCCTCCTGCAAGCCTAGGGAACGTATTCATGTCGCCTCCGGCCCAACAGYAGTAGTCAGAGATATCCTGTCTGTTTTTYCCCAACTCATCCAGTGTGTTGTTTTTGCTTTCTTGGGAACGTGCCCCACAGAAAAGCGCTTCGGAAAAGTCTGGAAATGTTGGAAAGCACAAACCGTCGCCTAGGGGAACGAGGAGACGGGAGATGGACACCACCGCCACAGCAATTTTTGGAACCCTCCTATCGTTACTGAATCAGGAAAACTTGCCCGAAAGGCCAAGTAGACGTCTGCTTTTACAGCACTCCATCCAATCCCAGTGCCTCCTTTCTGCACGGGGTGGCTCAATGAAGTGAGTAGGGGGGGGGGCGTACTCTCTACGTTGAGTCATCCTGTGCAGAAAGGAGGAACAGGAATTGGATGGAATACCTAGAAAGAGAAGGGAAGAAGGAGAGAAAGAAAAAGAAAGGAAGACTAGAAACAACAACGTAATAGTTTGCCCAAATTTCTTGCACACAGTGGAGTGTCAAAAAACCTCCAAAACTTTCTGCTGGCAGTGGGGTCCATCCCTTAATTGAAGGAAAAAACTCTTCCAAAACTTTCTGACGGCAGTGGGGCCCATCCCTTAATTGAAGGGTGATGGTCTTTTGATATCATCATTGAACTGGCCGGGCCGTCATTATTGGAATGTCGCTGATTAGTATTATTTCACTTTTCGTAATTCAAGATGATTATCTTGCTCACTGTGGTTACATCTGGATTAGAACTCGTGTCTGTATGTGACGTGCCAACCTCATGCCCTGTGCTGTCTTCCGTTCGGAGTGTTAGCTGTGCGAAAAAGGAGGCCCAGAAAAACAGCAAGATGGGGTGTGCCAAGGATTTTTGGAAATTGAGTGTGGGGACAGACGGAAATGAAATCCCCCGTGTTGGTCCGATAAAGTAAGTCGATCGTTTCGTGCGTCGCGGAAGGTGCGCGCGGGCAAGGCGGGAAAGAGAGAAGGATCCAAATTCAATCCAAAAAGTATTGTCGTGCCTCCCACCGCGCTACAGCCCGTCATTATGAACAGAAAGGCTTGGGCACGCTTCGCGTGTCTCCTTTTCGTATCAAATTCCGTCGTCGTGCGATGGTTAGTTCCGAGTTTGACGTGGAGGGTCTCAGTCATGTGGCTCTTTCTTTATGCTCGTCTTCACTCCGCACACGGTAGTGGAAACCCCTGGACTCGTAGCGCTCAAAAGGCTGACATTCGCTGCATAGAGTGCGACAGTGGGGTTCTACTGCCGTCCACGGAATGACAATTAACTCGTTAAATGGCAACAATACCGAGTAAGGTGGGAAATGCGTATCGATAATAACAAACCCGGCTTCTACAAAYCCAGAACAGCGGCTGGCCGGAGGGAAGTAATACTGCCCGCCGATTTGTGCAACGGCTTCTCGTACGTCCCACTCACATACACGTGTCCTTTCCTCACTGTAAGGAAAACGTCGCGTTGGGATGGGAGATACGGGAGGCTGGCGCCCAATCGAAGGGTACTTTTCAGTCGACATGTCAATCAATCACAAAATATCCTGAGACGTCATTAAGAACAAAAGCGATTCACGCGTCCCCCAATTTATCTTTTTGACACAAGAGAGAGAAAGCAATCACAGATCAGTATGGCTACGGGTCCGATCAGTCCAACACAACGTTGGTCCCTGGGGGCCGTGTTTCTTAGGGCCGCCTCGTGACTCGGCTGTTGATGTCATGCATYATAAGGCAGAGGGCATGCGCAGTGCAAACAGAGCTACTGATCTAAACATTCTTGCATTCTCGAACAAAATCCCGACGACACTCGTCTAATCAAATCGAAAAAGTCACGCATCTCTATACATGCATTTACTGTGGAAGGTGCGAAAATATGACATGCACAGGAAAAGATGGATCGCATTGCACAATACACACGCATTCACCGTTCACAAGTCAAGTAGACGGGGTCCTTGCGTAGGAGGATTACCCAGGAAATTAATGGAAGAGTTCCGGAAGAAGTTCGTTCACATAGAAGCAGGATACCAACTCATTCCTACTCAGGAGAGGGACAATCACTCAGACGCATCATCATTCCAAAAGAGAGAGAGAGAGAGAGAGAGAGAGAGAGAGAGAGAGAGAGAGAGAGAGAGAGAG